AGAAATTTTTTTATTTCCCAAATTCTCTCATATTATGTACAAGGGGTGTACAATGGATGCATCATAATCATAAAAATCAAACAAGTAAGTAAACAGAAAGGGGTTCAGAGATTTACAAAGGAGATATTTGTTTCAATATTATTCATGTTAGTGGAAATTCAGAAACGCATTCAATAATGGACAGCAGTTACAGTGCACCTTTGTGATGGAATATGACGCTAACACTACTTTAAAAGTATGTGTTTACAAAGTGATATAGAGACATGATTTTGATAGGATGGCAAGTGATTTCTTTATAGCAAAACACAAATGTAAGCACAGTATTATTTCTATTGCATAACAGATACATAGAAATATAGAAAGAAATAGACCAAAATATTAAAAGTGTCTGCCCACCCCCATCCCCACCCCCCAAAAAAGACACAGCAGAATTTCAAGTGGCTTTACTTCCTTTATATATTTTGCAGTGTTCTAAGCTGAGCACTAAATATTTCTATAAATGGACGTAAGCTGTACATGAAGTGTGTCACCATTACAACAACGATGGACTCGGAGCACCCCCTTCTTTCTTTGGCCTGACGCGTCACCCAGACCGATGTCCTCCTGGGCACAGGAAATCACTCATTCATGCCCTCATGTGGTTCCATGCCTTCCCGCACTTCTGCCTACAACTTTCATCTAAGTTTATCATTGCAGGAGAAATAGCTAATTAATCTGGTTTTTTTTTAAATATCCTTTGGAAGCATAAAACATCCCGTAAGCGTTCAGCCTCCACATTGTTTGCACTGCGGATCTGCCTAAACTCACGGCACCAGCATTAATTCCTACATTTAGTTCCCCGTCTTGCTTTCTGGCGGCCTCTTCTAAAGCCTGCGTGCTACTGCCTGCAGCCTCTGCATTGCAAAGCGACTGCCTGCACCGAAGCACAGTTTTTCTCTCTAAATTTTTTTACAAGCTCAGTTGTCTCTGTTTTTGATGGTAAATGAGAAATAAGATTAGTATAGAGAAAATGAAATTCTGACAGTGAACTAACTGTGGCTCTCACGTGGCCAGACTGTCACAGATCCCAGAGGTGAATGAAAATGTCCACTTGATGTTCTTGCCCGGACCAGAAGCCCAGTGCCCTGGAGCATGGAGGTGAAACACAGACACTGACTGAGTTACTCACACATCCTCCCAACCAGCTCCCCGACCATCTGGGAAAATCCAATCTGAGGGGAAAAAACAGACTTCCGGAACCAAAGGCACTCCTTCTCAGCTGGCTCCGCTCAGAGGGTGGGCATGGGCACTGTGCGCTTTTGTCAGCATCATGCTTATGAGCCCGCTGTTCCAGGGAGAGAGTCCTTGAATCAGCGCTACCTACAAGTCATCCTGTGACACGGCAGTTCACTTCAGTGACCTCGTCCTCTCGTCTCCCGCAAAGCTGCTTCTCCTCCAGGGCTCCCTGTCTTAGCATCTGGTACCCCATTCTACCTGGCTGATGTGCCAGACAGCAGGAGTTCTCCTTGACCCCTCCTCCCTCAGACCCCACATCCCATCGCTCAATCCCATCCACCTGCCTCCATGCCCACGGCCATCGCCCTGATCCAAGCTCCTAGCATCTTTCCTCTGGACTGGCGCCATCTCCCCGGGCTTGGCTGGCCTCAAGCCTTTCTGCACAGCTCGCAGCTGCAGCTCCAGCACCTGACACAGTGATCAGCAAATGTGCTGAATGGATGAGTGAATGAAGACAGGGGACCGAGGATCAAGAAAGACCTGGGACCTGTTATCAGTGAATGTCTTTGTACACCTCCTCCCCCCTTCACATGTTAAATCCTAACCCTCAAGGTTTTGGAATTAGGAGGTGGGGCCTTTGGGGGTGATTAGGGCACGAGGGTGGAGCCGTTGTGAATGGGCTCAGTGCCCTTACGAGAACAGAAGGGAGAGATGATCTCTGTCTCCCCATGTGAGGACACAGCGAGAAGGTGACCATCTATGAGGCAGGAAGAGGGCCCCCACCTGATGGTGCTGGCACCCTGATCTCTGACTTCCAGCCTCCAGAACTGTGAGGAACACATTTCTGTTGTTTATAAGCCACCCAGCCTGTGGTCTTCGTTACAGCAGGTTGACTGGACTGAGACAGGACCCATGTAACAGAACCGGCCTGATGCTGATTAGCGAAAGGGGACGTTGATGAGGGATAAGCAGTTGGAAACTATGTCAGAGAAGAAAAAGCTTAGCCTCTGTTGAGGCAGATATTTACTTTTTACCCCGGGAGGACAACAGTACTGTTAATTGACTTTAAAAAATATATATATATATTTATGTTTAAAGAGCTGAGGTTGTAATTGTTATATTGGTTTTATTGTCACACACGTAATGTTTACTTTTGTAATTTTAAAACGTCTTTAAAAACAAAAGGCAAAAGAATCTCTTTAGTGTGGGACCTCGCTTTGGTAAAAAGACGTTTCCAAGATGCTCGCATTAATTATAGAAATTGTCATGTATGTGACAACTGCAAAGGTAAGGTGTGAGTTGTTTTCATTTTTGCGAAAGAGCAAAACAAACTGTAGCCATAATAACCCCAAGGGATTGATAAGAAAAGACCAGAAACAGATGCCTCTGAGGTGACCTGGATCTGCTGAAATATAAAAAGTCATACCTAATGCTGTGGAACTGTACCTTCTAAAATGATGAAAACAGTAAACCTTATGTTACATATGATTGGCCCCAATAAAAACCACAGAATATTCCCCCCCAGAAATTGTAAAGGAGAAATGCCAACCAGCTCTCATTATCCAATCACCATGCGGCCTCCGTACTTGATTCCTCAGCTTATAACCATCCCTGATCGAGGCAGGAGGTGGCTCTAGGGTTAGGAAGGCTCAGGCGCAAGGGGACCCTGGGTCCCCCTTATGGTGATATTGTGATTTATAATAAGAAATACATATATTTGGTCTTCCTCCCGTTTCTGGCACAGAGCTCCTAAATCCCTTGGACTTTCTGAAGTGAGAAGGTGTCTTGACAGTTACAACAAACCCCTTTCAACCACACCTGAGCTAAGGTAGTGAGGTGACTTTTGGACCACACCTGAGTACGGGGCTGGATGCTAAGGGAACCAACCAGGTCATTCGAGGGTTGGAACTTTCAGCCCCACCCCCGAAGTCCAAGGATGGGAGACGGACTGGAGGCTGACTCAATCGCCAATCGCCACAATTTAGTCAACCATGCCTATGTAATGAAACCTCTACAAAACCCAAAAAGGATGGGGTTTGGAGGGCTTCTGGGTGGAACACGTGGAGGTGCTGGGAAGTGGCTCGCCTCCTGGAGAGGTCATGGAAGCTCCTTGCCCCTCCCCACACACCTTGCCCTGTATCTCCCACATCTGTCTTCCCTGAGTTATATCCTTTCATAATAAACCGCTGATCTAGTAAGGAAACTGGTAACCCAAGTTCTGTGAGCCACTCCAGCAAATTGATCGAAGCCAAGGACATGGGAGGAGGACATGGGAACCTCTGATTTATAGCCAGTCAGGCAGAAGCCCCGGTGACAACCTGACTTGCCACTGGCCTGTGAAGTGGGGGCAGTCTTGTGGGACTGAGCCCTTCGCCTGTGGAATCTGACGCTATGTCCAGGTAGTGTCAGAGCTGAGCTGAACTGCAGGGCACCCAGCTGGTGGTGGAGAATGGCGTGACGTGAGGAAACAGCGCGCACAGCAGAAGTGGTGTCCGATTCCTCCCCACCTTCCCAGAGAAGCCAGCAGGTCCCGTGCTTGGCTAAGTCAGCCATGCCCCACAGGCGGGTCTGGAAGCAAACAGGCTTTTGACCGCTGCTCCTGCTTTAACCTCCCCCCTCCACCCTGGCCTTCTTGTGTAAGTGGGAAGGGATGCCTCGTGGGCCCTGGGAGGCGTCCCAGCCAGTCTCTTCCCCTCGTCCTTGTTGGGTCCAGGCAGCAAGTCCTGTAGACTCAGCCCTCCCTTCCTTGCCACCCCCAGGGCCACTGCCTCAGTGTCCCCCGTCACCCTCCCCTCACCACAAGCACCAACAGCAGCAGTCTCCGGCTAGGTCTCTCTCCCCGCAACGCACCCTTCCCACCCTAAAGCACAGCCCCCCCTCAGAGCCACCTTCTAACTCAGATCTGGCCATGTCACTCCTCTGCTCAAGTGCCGCCCGGGGCTCCCTATTCCTCCAGGACCACATCAGCTCCGTGAGCAGGCGCCTGGCCTCCTGCTCCCACGCACGCTCTCCCCTCCCGTTTCCCTCACAGGGCTGTTCCCCACCGCAGGGCTTGTCTTCAGTTATTCCCTCTCTCTGCAACGCATTCCCTCCAAACCCCATCATCAGCCGCCGAACTCCTGCTCACCCTCACGGCTCATGTAGAGGCCGCCTCTTCTGGAAAGCCTTCCTTGATCACACCCACCCCACCCCAACCTGGGTGAGATCTTCTTCCTTGCCAAGGCCACGCAGCAAGTAACTAGTTAAACTGGGATTCAAGGTGAGGCCTTTCTGCTTCCAGAGCGCCAAAAACTTAAGAATGTGCAATTCCATATTCATGCAGGAAAGACTCAAGAGTGAGGCAGAGCTAAGCAAAACATGGTGGAAAGAAGCCCTAAATATATTACATGAAAACAGCAAGTTGCAGAACAATGTGCATGGCGCGATGCCACTGAAAAATTGTATATGTTTATATAGGTTTGTAAAAGCTTAAATGAACACTAATTGAGCTTTTAACAATAGCTACAGAGTAGTGGGTGGATCTGAACATTCTGTAAGGTTAGAATTTGTTCTGTATTCTTTATGTCTCTCCGCTCCCCCCCAAATCAAACCCAATCAAAGGAACTCAAAAACTTTTCTCTAATCATAAGTGAAGGCCTGGAAGCTCAAGAATTCCCAAACCAAAGGACAAGCTTTTAGAGGAGGGCTCACCTCTGACTGCCTTTGTCCTGCAAGGGACATGGGGAGCTGAGAAGGTGACACAGAATGAGAACAAACGTGGTTGGCCGGGAAGCCACACTTACCTTTCCCAGCAGCTCAGGCAGGCCCAGCAGCTGCCCCGTGAACACACCGATGCAGATGAAGATGGCAGTCACCTGTCCCAGAGAGCCACGGATCTCCTTGGGCGAGATCTCACTCAGGTACATGGGGAGCGCACTGAGGGCGATGCCTGTGAAGGAAACATGGCGGCTGTGAGAGCGCTGTCTCCTCTGAGGCAGGAAGGCTATGGTCACAGCACTTCCCTCTGCTTCACCCTGACCAAAGCAGCACTGTAGCCACAGCACCACTCCCAGCACTCTGCACAAACTGCCAGTGCTTTAACATGCACTGTATCATTTAATCCATAAGGTACGGCGCAGAGGTGGGTTTCATAGAAGAGGAAATAGCTGATGATAATGATACTGGTAGTGGTGATGGTGATAGTGGTGATGGTGATGGTGATGGTGGTGGTGGTG